CACTCTCATGAGGTGTGCAGGAGTGTCACTACCAGTAACAACCCATGTACTTATAGAGTTCTTTGCAGATTTCAAACATGCTTACCCATATATCTTCTTTTTGAAATCTGCCCAAAAGGTAGCAGGAAAATATTATTAGCCATCTTTCAGGCATTTTCAGCAAATAGGACTTAGCAAGAGGCCGGTGGTGGGTGATGGGATAGAAGCAGATATGAGCTAACTATCTTTGCCCGAGAGGAATAGCAGCAGTAGCAGTAATAACAGCAGTAACAGTCACAGCTACCATTGTTTGAGAACCGAATATGTGTCAGACATCCTACTAAGTGTTTTACTACTAAGGTTGTTCTGAGCACATTTCTTGGTGCCTTGTTTTCATGAAGGGCACTTTTGGCTGATGGCCCAAGGTTGTTAAATACTATTTGTTGACCGATCACATCTGTCTAATTCTGTCTATAAAACAAAAACCTTGTCAGTTTTCCTTAATCTCACTCTTTTCCTCACTCTCTAATCCAATATGAATTTTACCACCTAAGTTCTATTGATCTTACAAACTAAATATCTCTGCATTCATGTCTATTACTCATTTTACCACCAGACAGCCCTTTGAGGTGTTTTTCTTGTTCTCATTTTACGGAAAAAGAAACTGAGATTCAGAAGTTTAATAACTTATTCCAAATCCTCATGTCCAGTAAGTGATAGGGCTTGTATTTGGACATAAATCTATTTAAAGCCCAAATCTATTTTTTCTGTCTCCAGAGCCCAGGTTCTTAAGATTAAAACTACCATTATTTGAGGACTTCCAGGCCCTGTGCTATGGAGTCCGCCTATATTATCTCATTTAATCCTCCCAACTGAACAGCCTCATGCAGTCGGCACTGTTCTTATCCCACTATTACAGATGAGGAAACAGAGACTCAGAGAGGTTATGGAACTTGCCCAAGGTCACAGTGCTCATGAGTGAGTTGACTCAAGCAATTCGACTCCAATTTAGTTTAATACTAAACTATTAGTATGTTAAACTGTTTCCCAGAATTTGGGTTCAGACTAGTTAAAGGACTTGTCAAGGACCACAGGTCAGGTAAGTACAGGACCAGGGGCAAGACCAGGACCCAGCTCCTCACATTGGATCATGCTTGAGGCATGTGGTAGAGTCTTAGCCAGACTCCATCAGAGGTCAATTAGACTATCACCTCTGACGTCGCCCCAGCCCTGTGTGAATTCTTTCCACTCGGTCTAGTGATTTCCCTTCATCCATCTCCCAGTGCTGTGTCTCTACCTCCTCCATGGCTACCAGTGCCCAGGTCGGGGAGGGATCCTCTGCCTCCCCACCCCCATGCAGCCTCCAGTCCCTAGGCTGATCTGCTGTCTGCTGAAGTTCGGACGGACTGATTACTGTACAGTCTGGGCTGCTCATAACCAAAGGAACCCCCCCAATCCACCCCATGCCATTGTGACTTCCTACCTTTTGAAACCAGACATTTCTAACTCATAGAAGCCACAGTCCCAGACAAGTCCTGCCCATGCCCCTCACTGATAAATTTTACTCCATTGGCTGCAATGCATCCCTTCCAGATGTTTTAAGTTAAGATTGGGAAAGCTGTGTTTTTACTGGATTGAATCACAGCCCTTGGCTGAAATTTTTTGGCCCTTTATACACTCCTTAGATTTATCAGCTAATTGCAGACACTCTGAGAGAATAATACAGCATGTGTTTATTATGACAAAACCTGTAAGTGTGTCTTTGTGGTCAAAGATTCACGGGTGTTTCCTTTACTCACCCCTGGCTAAGTGTTAGGGTTGGTTCAAAAATGTTGCTTCACGGGCTTCCCTGGTGGCTCAGTGGTTAAGAATCCGCCTGCCAGTGCAGGGCACATGGGTTCAAGCCCTGGCCCGAGAGGACCCCACATACCGCGGAGCAACTGGGCCCATGTGCCAAAACTACTGAGCCTGTGCTCTGGAGCCCGTGAGCCACAACTACTGAAGCCCGCGCACCTAGAGCCCGTGCTCCGCAACAAGAGAAGCCACCGCAATGAGAAGCCCGTGCACCGCAACAAACAGTAGCCCCCGCTCGCAACAGCGAAGAGTAGCCCCTGCTCGCCGCAACTAGAGAAAACCCATGCGCAGCAACAAAGACCCAACGCAGCCAAAAATAAATAAATCAATAAAATAAATTTAAAAAATAAAAAGAGTGGTGACCTCCCAAAAAAACAACACTACAAGGGCTGAGTCACTTAAAAAAAGAAAATGTTGCTTCAAAGTCAGGAACTTAACATGGGTGAAGATTTCATTTATGTGTTTTGATGGAGTTTGGGGAATGGAGACAGGATAGATGCGATAGCCCAATTTTCATTCTTGGACTGTTGAAATCTTTAGTTGTAGATGATAAAGTGATTTATAAAAGGAGACAGAGGAATTTTATTTAAAACATAAAAAAAGCTTTGTGTCGTTCTAATGTCACTATTTAATAAAGTTCTCCATATGGGTTAATTTTGGATCTCCCAATTGGCCTATTTAAGAGATTTATGCCTGAAGACATGTTGAAGGGCGTACCTGCCTCTCTGAGTTATGGCAACCAGTAGCTAAGGTGGCCCTTCAGCCAGGAAGAGCCCAATGGCAGCAAACTGCGGGGGAGAGGGGAGTGGACTGTCATCACAGCTCAGATAGGGCAGTTGTTATCTGGGGTATGAGTCACTGGCAAGGATCTGGATGAAGATCTTGGCAAGCCCCAGTCCTAGGATGCTGCTGCATCTAAAGGACGGATTGACCACTGGAAAGGCAGGATGGAAAAGCCAGAAGTGAAACATGGATATCCAGGATACATCCTTGGGGTCCCTGATTCCCAGTCAGAATGTCAGTGAAGGGCTCAGAGGTGATGCCAGGTGATGCCTTTAAATTGTAAAAGTCAGAAAGAATGTCAGGAAAAAAATGTCAGCTGGAAATCTGGATTTTAGAATTGTCAAGAAAAAGAAATACAGTCGGCCCTCTGTATCCGTGGGTTCCACATCTGCAGATTCAACCAACTGGGGATCAAAAATATTGGGGAAAAAATCCAGAAAGTTCCAAAGAGCAGAACTTGAATTTGCTTCATGCTGGCAAATATTTACATTAGCATTTCCATTGTATTATGTATTACAAGCAATCTGGAGATCATTTAAAGTATATGGAAGAATGTGTGTAGGTTATAGGCAAATACTCCACCATTCTATATAAGGGACTTGAGCATCCTCTGATTTTGCTGTCCACGGGGGTCCTGGACCAATCCTCCTGAAGATAGGGAGGACTGTGCTGCTTCTTATTACTCTCAGGTATAGAGAATTACCTAAAACACATGGTTGTGAGGGAGCCTGTTTCAATGAATGCATTTGAATGTTTTGTCATCTGTACATCAGAGAACAATTTTCTCAAGCATGCTGTTCACTTCCTTTCACAATGCTTCTCTATGAGGACGCCCAGATTTCTCTCTGGAATGGGTAAATATTATCTCTTCTGAGAAACTGGTTTGTTTTCATTCTTCAGATTGAGAATCTCATAAATATTGTCTGCCCTTCTCATTTGCTACTGGAAAGCTTAGAACTAAATTTATGAGCCACTCCTAGCAAGGAAATAAGCTCTTAATAATACATAATCAAAAAATGTATTTTTCTATGCTATTCTCACTCCTTACTTCATCTTCCCCTTATTTTCCCTTTAATCCATTTCCTCCCCTGTTGAATTTATTGTATTTTAGTTGATTGTATCTTGTGGTGTATGTGTCACTTAAGCTGGAACAAAGAAGCATATATAAATAAATACATCCATACAAGCAAATGGGTGTTTCCCAATGCTAAAAGATGCTTTTTCCTTTTATGGACTTTACATTTTACTTCACTCTTAATTCCTTTAACAAATGCCCCTTTCATAAATAGAGAGTTTCCTTCAGGCCTCTGAACCATCTCAATTTCCAAATTAAGTAAATCCCAAATAAAGATACTGCCTTTGCTTGGTAAATTAACTCAGTGTCCTATACTTGTTTAAAATGCTTGGTCGAAATTTTAGAATCATTATGCAATAAGAGACGACATTCATAAAATGCTGGAGAAAAGCTTGAACCCTACCAGTCAGGTACCCTGCTTTCGCCAGAAGAAGCCTTCATTACTCATTCCCTGTGCGGTCATGGGGTCCTCCAGACTCTCCACTCAACCCTACAAGACTCACTTGGGGGGGAAGACTACACTTCCATTGCAAGTAAGGTCCTCCTAAAGAGCGAGGCACAACAAGCAGCCTTCAAAGCCCTCCCTCTCCTGCAACATTTCCACTTCTCTAACTAAAAGGGAACTCTGAGTAATCCGAACATGCCTCTCCTCTAGAGCGCTGGCCATCTCCATCCTAATTCTCCAGCTTATCTGTTATCACTCGTTTTTCTACTGTTCAAGCTCCTTTGTTCCAGCTAAAGAGGTCTATGTATTTCTAGTTTCTCATCTTTGCAAATGCCACTCGCTGCTTGGACCTTAACGTTCCCCTAACTTACTCCTCCCCACTTGACTGAGTCCTACCCTCAGCACCCACCTCTTCCAGGAAGCCCTTCCCCATGTAGCAGCCCTCAATGATTTCCCCCATGAACTCTGTAGCTCCTACCGTCTGCCGCTTCACCCTGGCACCTACCACATAGGCTGAGCCATTGTTATTTTTCTTTTCAAGTGTAGGTCCCATTTCCTCAACTAGATGTTAAACCTCTCTATAACTAGGACTGCTGTATCATAGACTCAATAAATATCTGCCCAAAGATCAAATGAATGAATAATTCCTATGGATTTTCGGGATACCCGGAGGCATCTAGCACAGTGCTGGCTCATTAAATGCTTGACATCAATGATACTAGTAAAAATGTTATCCTCCACTTACCCACCCACTACAGCATAATGTCCTTGAGCCTTCCTATCTTGGCAGCTAAAAGCAAACCCCACTTTTCTGTTTTAACAAAATAAGCTGTGCTTTGACTTTTTGATTTCCTCTCCTCCTAGATTTTGAAGAAGTCCTGCATCGAAATTCTAGCAGCTGAACCATCCACCATATGTGCAGGAGGTAAATTGAAATTAAATGCTAATCGCTGTCACACAAATAATGAGATTTTGAATTCAAGTCATATGTTTACTTCATCAGTAGGGAAGAAGGGAGGTGGGGCAGGAAAGGGGAGGGGGAAAAAGAGGAGTAGAAACTGCTAAATAAATTTGCTTCTAGGGAAAAAAGGGAATAAGGAATCAACATGCCAGTTGTTTGAAAGTTTGGAAAAGCCTATCTAAATTCTCACCTTTCATGGGAACTAATTTGGGAGTATTACAGAAATACTGGATTCCCACACATCACCATCAATACCCCTCTCTGGATACAAGTGGAGTCTAACCCTACATCCTCATGGCAGCCATCACAGTGATCATAGGCCACCTCTGAAATGTTGGTATTTGTAATTATTTAATCAGTGCTGAACGTCTCTCCGTAATTAATGTGTTGATCGTAATTAATTGCTTAATCTACAGTTCCTCACAAAATGTTGATAGGCCACTCCAATTATCCCAGTAAGAGGCCATTATAATTTTATCATTAATACAGCAAGCCTCTACTTATACAAAGAGTCAGCCTTCTCTGAGTCACAGTATTTTCTCTAACTGATCAAAATCATGTTCTTACTGTTGTTTTGTATTATAATGGGCTGCCTAAAATTTCAACCATTCTGTATCTCTTTGTATAATTCCTGACAGGTTTCCCATCACTCTTATTTAAAAAGTACTGTTAGGCACCTACTGAATGCCAGGCACTGTGGTAAGTGCTGGCGATACAAAAAGGATAAACTTTCTCTCCATGAGCTCCTGTGCTCCGGGACCTGTAGTATTTCACCATTGAGAGTTCACTGTTAATATCGCCTTTCTAGTCTCCTAAAATACCAAGTGCCAATTATTAATTTATCATAGAAAATACATCATGCAACCCCATAAGTAGTGAGGAAGAACTTTCAAGCTTTTTCAAACACTGTACAGTTTTATTCTTTATGGCATATTTTATTGGTATAAATGAGGTAATTCCTTGAGGATTCCATTCCAGTTTCTTGGCTCTATTTTAGAACAGTTGAAACACTTTTCAAGGAGTTAGATGTAGTGAATAGTATGTGCCAACAACAAAACACTAAGTATATATGTAAACATTTAAAGTTGTTAGCAGTACTTGGAGACTGACTATTCAGAGACGTGTAAATTTCCTGAAGAAAAGCAATCAACAAAGATTATCTATGGACCTTTAAATACACTGCTACCTGGTAACACAGATGGCAGGAACAAATGTGGTTGCCACAAAGACAGGTCCAGGAGAACATTCTTAAGAAAAGGAATTGAAAAATCTTACCTTTGCAAATTTACAATAGCATATGACCACATGAGCCCAGTGCCAGGAGGCTTAACTAGGGTTCATTAGCTTCAAGGTAAATCTGTCTCAACAATTTTTATAATTCCTTTACTTTAAAACAATTAGAAAACAGGGGAGTTCCTTAATTGTGCAGTTATCTCATTCATGAAGAAAAACCCCAGACTTGCAGTTTAGCAATCCTACTGGATGTTTTGCAACCTTGTATTGAATCAGAACATCTAAAGACAATGAATACAGCTTCTGTTAATTCACTAGCATAATCAGTTCCCCTCCTGTAGGGTTCTTGGGGACAGAGAAGGAATCTTATTTCTCTCCACTTCCCATTGCCTAACAGAGTCTGTGGTACTTAATAGGTGGTCAATAAATGTTGACCGAATGTCTTGATTCATACATTCCTTAAACAAACAATGCACCGATTGTTGCTCATTCGACCCTTATTAACTACTTTCACCTAATCTCAAGAAGTTTTCTGAACTTTGAACTATTTTAAATGAAGCAGAATTAGAAATAGCCAAAGACAGAACAAGGCCCCAAAAGCCCACCAAATCTCAATCACTCGGATTGAGTATCTTCTTAAATAATTCTTGAATCAAAGATTAGTAAACCAAAAATCTCCTTTACTTACCACTGAGGTGTTCAAGATAATAAAAAGACCACATATATAAACGTAATGAATACGGCACAGAAACACCAGGGTCCACAAGATCTGATCCTAGCAAATTCATAGTTTTCAGTATGTTTCTTATGTAATGGAAAAGAAAAATAATTAAATAAAAGGTATTTTTAAAGCTAAGGAAAATATAAGAAAAAAGATTAAAAAGTGTTAATAAATTTAAACAAATTAAAACAATTCCACTGATTAATTATCCCAGGAACTGTTTCTTTGGTAGAACCAGTAAAATAGACAAATCTCTGGTAAATCCAATCCAAGGAATCTTTCCTTAAATATTTTTTAAATCTCTGGCTTATGTGCAATATCCCATATTTTATGGACAAACAATAGTTTCCTGTATCGGAGTAAACTATCTAATTCTATTTATTTTATTTCTTTTTTCTAATTGACGTGTAGTTGATTTACAATGTTGTGTTAATTTCTGCTGTACAGAAAAGTGTTTCAGTTATAACTACATATATACATTCTTTTTTATATTCTTTTCCATTATGGTTTATCACACAATATTGAATATAGTTCCCTGTGCTATACAGTAGGACCTTGTTCTATATCCATTCTATATATACTAGTTTGCATCTGCTAACCCCAAACTCCCAATCCATCCCTTCCATTTCCTTTATTTCTCATAAAAAAAAATAATACAAGACACAGTGATGGGACCTAGCCTAGGTTTTGAAAAAGCAAGCTCCCACCTCTCTTGAATTAGAATCATTAGGATTAAAACATGTAGGTTAGAGAATAAGTTTACTAAGAAGAAAATAAAACTTTCACAAGATATCCTTACACCAAAAGTTCTTCCAAGGATTCCCTTAAAGGTCTGTCGCTGATCATTCCCTGGAGTAAGCATGGCTTTCATGAAGCGTTGGAGGCCATTTCATTGTCCAGGGCTGTGAACTCCTGTCAAGTAGACCTAAGCATACCCACTGTGTGATTTTCATTAGGCCACTGCAAGGAGCCACGGCCAGGGATTTATGTGAAAGTGCTTTAAAAAGCATAAACTGTTACAACAAAGCAAGGTGACATTATTATCATCAGTATCATTTTAATAAGGATTGAAGGTCAGTATGAGAATCATGATGTTGATAATATCACACCTAGATGAGAAAAACATGCCTGTATGTTTCTCTACTGAAAGAAAATTGGGGAAGCCTTGGTAGAGTTCAGAGTATCTGAAAAATGATTCATTAACTCAATACATACTGGAGGAGAAAGTGAACAAGGAAATATTGTTCATATTTGTAAAGTATAATGTTGAGACTAAGCCCTAGACAGATCTGTGAAGAAGATAGAACTTGCTTCCATCAAAAACCTTTCCTCTCTGCTTCCTCCCCTCACTCTCTGAATTACTTCCCTTCCCTGGTCCCCAGAGCAGCCCCTGCTGTGGAGCCCCACCCTGGCCTGTCCACTCAAGACACGCTATACTGATGACTGCATTCTCCCAAGACAGGGATCTCAGCTGGCTCTCACCAACAGCTCAGCAACAGCCATGGTTCTGACAGCAAACTGAGCTCTGAGAGAGGCAGTGAGATAATGCACTGGGTGGACAGTAAAAGTGAGATCCAGCACAGATCTTTCAGTGTTGGGCTGCAAATAATAGGGTGAAATTTAATGGGACAAATATAAAATGCTGAACTTGCAAATCGTCAGTTTCACGTACAAGCAGGTTTAGAGAAACCTGACTTAGTAACAGTTCATGCAAAGAAAAAGAAAAAGCAAGGAGAAGCATAGCTATCTTGAGAGCCAACAAGAATGCCTCTGACAAAAAAAAAGCTGATGCAATCTTAGAGTGCATCAATAGCCATCCAGTGTCCAGGGCAAGAGAGCTAATACCATGCTCCACTATTCCAAGTTCAGACCATGGTTCCAAGTCCCATATTTTAAAAATGGCATTGACAAAGGCATGTTCCTAGTAGTAGTGGTGATGGAACTAGAAACCATATTAATAATTCATTCAGGATGTGAGGGCAGCCCAGCTGCAACATTTGTCACCCCATTGATAGACAGGGTTGATTCAGCTGATCTGGCTGGCTAGGCAGGTGTCCCCTTCCTCCCTCCCATGTGTATCCCTCCTGAAGCTGCATGCTCAGTGGAAGAGGATGACCTTCCCCAGTAGAGTCCATTCTTCAGTCAAGGATGTACAAGTAGCTGTGCTCCCCTGCTACAACCTCCGAACAAGCTCTCAAGGTCCATTTACAGGAGAACACAGGAGAGTCAAGCTTCCAAGACTCCAGTCACTGATTCCTTCCTCCCTTCCTTCCTTCCTTCCTCCCTTCCTCTCTCCCTTCCTTCTTTATTTACACCACTTCTTAATGTCTACTGTGTACCAAGCAATATGAAAAGATTTGAGTACCAAAATGCATGCTTGGTCCCAACCCCCCATGAAACTCACAGTCTGCTCTAAGAGATAGTCATATGTTCAGACAAATTCCGAAACCACGCATGAAGCACTATAGCAGAGATCTGCTCAAAGAGGTGCTAATGAGATGCTTGTGGGATGAGGAAGGACTAGAGTGACCACAGAGATTTAGACAAAGAATTGAGACACTCACAAGGATATTTGGAGAATTCCCATGCAGAAAGGAATAATTAGGCTTACTATAAATAGCTTCAGGAGACCACCATGGAGAGATTGGGGAGGAATTCAAGGAGGCAGGTTTTGGCTTAACACACGCAACTTTTACAACTAAAGCTTTCCAACAATGGAGTAGATGCTCTCAACTTCCCACCCCCAGAATTATGTGAACAACAGCAGAATGGCCATCTGTAACCACGTGCTATACAGAGAAACCCTTTCTGGGTCTCCTTTATAACTTTAAGTTTCTAAAGACTTAATTCAACTTCAGCTAAGATATTAATGGCTGATTATTTGTTTAATGGCTAAAGAAAAAAGTATACTTGGAACTATTTTTCATTTTAACAGGAAATCTTAATGCAAAGAGGAGGTAAGCATCTGCCCTATCAAAAAGAATTTCAATCAATATCATGAGTGAAACTATTTGGAGACAGAGCCATCCCAAAACTCCTCCACTGCCAGAGGTTATAAGCTGGCAGCCAACAAGCCCTGTCTGGTCTGCACATATGTTCTTTTTGATTCACACTGCAATTTAAAAACAAATTATTGCTAACATTTAAAAGTCTGATTTCACCTAAAAATTCAGATTTTCGGGCTTCCCTGGTGGCGCAGTGGTTGAGAGTCCGCCTGCCGATGCAGGGGACGCGGGTTCGTGCCCCGGTCCGGGAAGATCCCACATGCCGCGGAGCGGCTGGGCCCGTGAGCCACGGCCGCTGGGCCTGCGCGTCCGGAGCCTGTGCTCCGCAACGGGAG